GGCAACCTGGCCTCTAATGCAGAGAGTTGGCCTCCCTTTTCTTATACTCTTCATTTGTTAAATCTTTGCTAAATTGCCCCAGAGAAAAATTATTTCAAACTTAGGCTAGTGCATAGGGTTTTTTTCAAAAGGAAGGGTTAAAAAGGTATTCAATATACAGTATGAATCAGACATAATATTTATTTCCTACACACAAAAGGAATGCTCACACAGAACCCTTACTTGTTTATATTTGATGAAAATGAAGTTAAAATGGGATCAAGTACCAGTTTCTAACTAGCATTACAATCTGTTGGGAGGTTGATACCTAAACATCATTAGAACATAAAGCAGTTTGTGGGATTACTGATTAGGTGTTTTATATTTGACCTTAGTTCTGCCTTATTCAAATAACTTGTAGATCACATTTGCTGGTAAAATGGTTAGACTTTGGGTCAGTGTTCTTATCAGTGACTGTCCTCTCCAGGAATGTTGGAGTGATTACTAGTGAATTATCTCCTTAACATCATTTAGCTCTAACTCAATGGAACCCAGTATCTCCAGACATCTCAAACTCACAAGTTCATCTCCAACCCTGGGCATATTCATCTAAGGATAGAGCCTTGTTCACCAAAGATCAATTAAAAGGAAATAGATTACACCCAGGCTCAGGCTTATCTGGAAAAGTTATGTTCTTTAGAGGCCATGTATACATGGTGTCATGGAAGGTGGGGCATGGCATAGGGCAAGCCATCCCTTCCCCAACACCCTTCTTAGAAAGTAGCTAGACCTATATCAGATTTTGTGCCATCTTGGGGAAGGAGGTAGGGAGGGAGGGGGAGAAAAATTTAAAACTCAAAAGCTTATGGAGGTGATTGTTGATAATTCAAAATACATTACTTTAAAAGAAAGTAGCTAGAAACATAAGATCAAAAGCCAGAAAGAAAGAGAGAGCTGAGGGTGGGTTTATTCCCTTTTAAGCATCTACTTCGTCATTAGCGTTTCTGGATATGTAGCTAATAAAAGGACTCGTAGTCATCTTGAAGTATAAGTCTTTTATCCATATGTTATTTGTGGCTGGAAGAAAGCCTCAAAGCTCCCACATGGTAGACTAGAAGCAGAAAAGGCAACTCTGAGCATACCTCTTGAGATGGCCCCCATTACTCAAGGATTAGGAGCTGGAAGGAATCTTTGAGATCATCTAATCCTATCTTTTAATTTTACAAATGAAGAAAATGAAGCACTGAAATATTGTTACTTGACCAAAATCACTCAAGTAGTAAATAACAGCCAGGGTTCAAACTAAAGTGCTCGATTCCAAATCTAGTGTTCTTTTCACTATGCTATGCTTTGGCAGTATATCACAGTGCTCACTTATAACAAAATGCAAAATCCCTTTCGGTGTGGGTCTGAACTACAGATTTATATAAGACTAGTAGTTGATTAGGGGGCAACTAGGTGGAGCAGGGAATAAAGCCCTGAGCCTGGAGTCAGGAAAACCTGAGTTAAAACCCAGCCTCAGATACATACCAGTTGTGTGACCCTGGGCAAATCATTTAACCCTGTTTGCCTCAGTTTCCTCATCTGTAAAGTAAGCCAGAGAAGGAAATGGCAAACCACTTCTGTATCTTTGACAAAAAAAACAACAACCAAAAAACAAACCCAGATGGAGTCACAAAGAGTCAAACATGACTGAAATGACTGAACAATAGTAACAGTAGTTGAATACAGATAGAAAATATAGCTACGTGATATCCATAGAACCCCATTTACAAAGGTAATAGTCGCTGAGTTTCTTCAAAGAGCCCTTTCAGCCTTCTAACATTTCCCTTTATTCATGAAACACAGTATAGAAGAAAGTAATTCCAGAACCCAATTTCATTAAATCCCAACTTCCCTCAAGGTCACGAAGGTAGTAACCAGCAAACCACGTTGGGCAAGTTCCTACCATGTCATGCCTGTGCTATTTCAAAAGCCTTCTAGTTGGTCTCCCTGCCTCAGATCTCTCTTCATTCTAGTCCATTTTCCACTCACCTGTCAAACTGATTTTACTAAGAGTAAATCTGACCATGTCCCTCTCCCCCATTCAATCAACTACAGTGGTTCCCTATGGTCTCCAAGACAAAACATAAAATCTTTTTTTTTTTTGCTTTTTAAATCTCTACATAACCTAGCCTCTTCCTTCTTTCTAATCTTTTTTGCTCATAATACCACCCTATAATAATCTCAATAATCTGCAATCCAGTAACACTGGCATCCTTGTTGTTCCTTTCATTAGACACCCTATCTCCCAACTCCAGGCATTTTCACTTGCTGTCTCTCATGCCTGAAACACTCTCTTTCCTCATGTCTGCTTCCTAATTTTTCTACATTCCTTCAAATTCCAGATAAAATCTTACCTTCTGCTAGGAGCTGCTCTGAATCCCCCATGATGCTAGTGATTTCATTCTGCTGATTATTTCCAATTTATCCAATATATATCATCTTTGGATGTAGTTGTCTGAGTGATGTCTCTGCAACTAGAATGTAAACTCCTTGAGATCAGAGTCTGCATTTTTGCCTTTATTTGTATCCCAAGTGCTTAGCACAAGAACATAGTAGGTATTTAATAAATTCTTGTTATTAACTAAAACAAGGCTCTCTGACTCCAAAGTCAATGCTATTTCCACTGTACTAATTCAATTTAGCCAAACATTTGCTAAGTGATTACTACATGCAAAACACTGTGATAGGTGCTGGGGATACAGAGACAAAAACGAAACAATCTCTGTCCTCAAGGAACTCACGTTCTGCTAGACCTGTGTGATCTAGTTCAAATGGCTCTAAATGTATGCTGAATAATCATTAGCATATTTGACGTTTATGTAGATTTTAAGGTTTGCAAAGTACTTCACAAAATAACCTTATTTGAAAAAAGATGTAAAATCAAGAGAATTAAGAGTTATTAATATTATTTTTATTATTAATAAAACTATTGTTAATCACTAAATCACTGCAACAACCTCAACAATGAGCTAAGGCCCATTTTGTTTTTGTCTTCCCTTATTATACCTGTGGTTGAAGATTTCTTTCTAGGTTGACAAATCTATTGACACTCAGAAGATAAACACACAAAATAGAATAGGAAAATGAAAGACTTATGAGAGATTCTATTACTGATAACATTTAAATCTACTCTTTCTTTCACAAAGGTGATGTTGAAGATAGTGGCCCAGTCTCCATGGAATTAACCCCTTAACTATAGCAAACAATATATTGTGAAGAAGATAAGGTTAGGAAACATCTTAACTTCACACACAGACACACAGAAACACACACACACACACACACACACACACACACACACACACTCTGGTGAAATAGAGGATTTCCTTCCATCAGGCCAAGTAGTGAAACATACTGAACCTACTATGAGGTTAGATATCTTTAAGGTCTAATGAAGGGAAAACAATTCCTTTTCTATTGAAAAGTCATGGATTGATTGGGTTAGTGAGGCAGGTAAAAATGAAAAGGAGAAATGTATGTCTGCACAATAAAGTCCTTGAAGATTTTCATGTTATTTCAGGGACTTAACCATAAATCCTTGCTCCTTAAACAGTATATTCCCTTATCAGCTGGCTCTCAGGTTCTTGATCGGTTCTGAACTTGGCCAACTGGACAAAGTGGGCATAATGCATAATAAGTGGGTGGGTGGAGTGCAGAGAACATCTGTTATAGCTGTATAGAGAGCAGGAGGCTTGGGCAGGAAGAGAATCCAGTTAGCCGGAGACAGAGAAGACCAAGACAGCTTCCCAAGGAAGTCCTAGTATACGCAGCCAGCTCCACATTCTGCTCTGAAAAGAAAGGTGAAGAGTATTTTCTCATTCTCTCACCACTCAATTACATAGGATGGCTTCCAGGGCCAAGACTCAGCTCCCCAATCCCTGCGTCTTCTGGGCGGATCGGTCTGATTGGCTAGTATGCCTGCCCATCACAGAGTAGGGTCTTGGAAAGTTTCATTCAAGGTGGAGAAGTGTCGGGGCAAAGAGCACAATTGCAGTCGTGTGTTAGCTTCGAGGGGCAGCGGACAGCTGCAACAGCAGCATTAGCAGTGGTAGGAGAAACAGAAGACTAGGAGGAGTCAACGGACTGGTAATTTGGATCGTATTTTTTTTTCTTTTCTCTTTTTTTTTTCTTGAAAGGGAACGAAAGCGGACAAATCAAGCAAAAGCCAGGCGCTGTTAGCTATGTAAATAAACTATTTTTGCCCGCAATCTTGAGAGCCCTTTGGACTACAGATTCAAAACAACAACAAAGTAAATCAACCAATAATGCAAAGCCTATAGTGTCTGGGAATGGTTTTGCGCTGTTGGCTACCGAGGTCTGGGTCTTTCTCGGTAGAGGCTGACGGCGTTGCAACTTAGGTCTACAGTGCGCTCCTGAGCTCCTCGGCGTGACGGGTCTGGAGCAAGGGATTTCTAGAAAACGGCTGGGCAGCCCCGCGTTCCAGCTCCAGAGACTCCCGACCAGCTTGGGTAGCGGGGCTGCGTGCTGGGCAACGAAACCTGCTCGGGGGTGGGTGGGGGGGGGACCGAGGAAGGAGGCAAGGGCAGGCGAGGAAAGCGTGAGGTTTCCGAGGGTAACTTCCCATCAAAAACGTCCTTCCCTTTTGTGAACAATTCCAAAGAAGAAGGAAAAGAGGAAAGCACTGACTTTTTAGTACCCCTACCTCACCCGCTCGGGAAAACAAAACAAAACAAACGAAAACATCACCCAGGCAAACTCACATCAACCAAACAGCCCATCACTATCCAACCCCAGACTCCAAAGGACACCTTGAGGAACACTGACTTGGGATTTTAATTTAATTCATGGACTACCCTTTCAATGTGGGGCGTTTACTGAGGTGTCTGCTGCAGAAAGTCTGAGAGAGGGAGAGAGAGAGAGAAGAAAAGAGGAAAAGGCTGGCGAGAGAGAGAGAGAGAGAGAGAGAGAGAGAGAGAGAGAGAGAGAGAG